CCGCGCCGTGCTGCCGAACGCCGCTGTTGCCCTTAGGGGCTGCGCCGCCGTGCCTGCTGCCTGCTATTTTTGTTAAAACAAACCGAAACAGGCTTGCTTAATTTTTCTCATATAAAAGCCTCACCGACTCCCAAACAAAACAGAATCTTCTATTAAAACCATAAAAAAGAATTCACACCACGATACAAATTGTGGAAACAACTGCCGACTGCCGCCACCACCACCTGCAGAGCACCACCACGTACGCCGAGTCGTTTGTGGAGGGGGAGGTGGCGGATGAGGAGACGGGGCTGCGCTTCCCGGGGTACTACGACGGATCCAACCCAGACTACTGCATCGTGCGGGTCATCTGTGAGTGGGCGCAGCGTTCGGCAGCGCACTGCGTGTGCACCTGTCTGGTCTCGCTGCCTGCTGGCTTGTCGTGTGCCAGAGCGCCGTGTGCAAGCGCGCTGTTCGTGATTGGTCGAGGCCGGCGCCGCTGCCTGCGGCCCGCCCGCGCCTGCTCGCCTCCCCGCCGTGGCGCGCGGCTCGTCGCCTCCGCCGGCGGCCTCCGCCTGCCGAGCGCTGCCGCGTGCTGGCGCGCCGCCCTCGCGCATGCCCTGCAGCCACCTACACCTGCCTGACGTACGACACAGAGTGCAACGACAACTCGGAGATCGCCCAGCAGCTGTGCGAGGTGAGGCAGGCGCCCGCGCATGTGCGCAGGCATCGCCGGGGCCATAGCTGCGCGGAGGCCTGCCCGCCACCACCACCACCACCACCTGTTGCTCGCCACGCCCACACAGATACACAGGCACAGACGATGCACACGCCGCCACGCACCGCCCCGCTGCTCCCCCCCTGCAGACCAGCTGCGCCAACAACGAGGGGTGCAACCTGGAGGGGGAGCGGGACAACCCCATGTTTGGCCGCGTGTGCGGCCTGCTGGGCGGCCTGCGCCCCAACTGCGCGGACGACGGCGAGTTCTCGGAGGATGGGGCCCGCCAGCTGAGGGCGGTCTACAACGTGGGTGGGCCGCGTGTGGGCAAGGGGGCTTGGGGCGGGGCCGCGGGGCCGTGGGGGTGGTGGGCCGCGGCGCATGTGCCGGCAGGCAGCGGGGAGCAGGA